TGCGCCCGCTGGCTGCCGCCTGCCCGGCCGGGCTGAGCGGCTGCCTGGGCCTCGGCCTCCTTCCCTCCCTCCCTCCCTACCGGGGCACCGTGCCACCGGGTGCCGTCCTTCTGCGTGGGCCCCGCTGTCGGAGCCTCTCCTGCTACCCCTGTGGGGTCAGTCCCCGACACACGGCCCCTCCGGTTCCGTCAGGCCTGCCCTGCCGCCCGGGCTCACTCGCGGCTCGGGTCCCTTTGCAGCTGGCTCATTGCCATCCTGGCCCAGGCCAACCCCTTGTTCGGGCCGCAGCTGAAGAACGAGACCATCTGGTATGTGCGCTTCCTCTGGGAGTGAGCCTGTGCCCTGACGGAGATCCTCCTCCCCCGGCCACCGTGAGTAGGCAGAGGGCTGGCACAAGGCGGTTGCAGCGTTTCCCCCCCTTCCTCGTCTGCGTGTGTCTGGCTGGGGAGGGAGGTGCTGCCTACTTCATGCCGGGTGGGAGTTGCTGTGGCTTCTGCATGTTGCGGTGAGCTGCACCCAGTATGAGGCAGGTGGCTTGCAAAAGCAAGCAGTACCCCCTGAGCCTGCTCCCCTCAAGGTGTGAGGGGACTTGTCCATGGGCACAGCTCGTTGCTAACTTCTTATTTCTTTGTCTCCCAGCTCTTCTTGCTGCTCCATCCTCTGCCCTCCTGTGTCAGGCAGCCCCCAGTGGTGCTGGGCCTCAGGCTGGACCCACTACCCCAGCACTCCCTCAGTACTGCAGTCTGGACACAGCGACAGCTGGGCCCCCAGCCGTGGCAGGCAGGACCCCTGCCAGGACTGAGGGTCCGCTTTTATGAGCCAGGCCCTGGGCACACCTGTAGTACCTGGGAGAAAGCCTGTCAGCTGGTCGAGAGCTGCAGTCAGTAGTGTTGAAGACCAGCCTGAGACTTTTCCTGGAGAGAGACCTATACAAAGGGCCAGTACATCCTATCTATCTGCAGTGCTTGCCATGCTCCTCCTAGTGTTTTTGGCCCTGGGCTCCCCTTGTGTGAAATCCTGCTCCCCTCCCCAAGTTAGTTACAGTATCCTTCATCTCTTCTTTGGGCCCTGGCTCCCCCTGTGCATGAGAGGACAACAGCCTGAGGCATCCCATGTTCAGTCCCCTTTGTGAGCCTGGGCTTGCAGTGGAGTCGTCCTTGCTAAGACAGGTTCTGGCTATGGACGGGAGAAGGGAGGGCTGACCCTCTTGGGCATGAAGAAGGAGATGGTGCAGGTGTAGGGCAGAGGGTTCTGCTGCCAGGCAGCCAGATCAAGCTGGAGGTGAAGGGATGCTGCTGTCTTCTGCCTGAGCACTGAGGGTTAAGCAGAGTAGTATCTAGGTACTATTCTTCTTGCCTGTGTCAGTGTTCGGGGAAGAACATTGTATCTGTATCAAGTAGTATGACTAGGTCTTGTTCTTTATTTATCAGATAATTAATCTGTATTTATTTATTTGTCTGTTTGTTATATTTGTGTTGTGGAAATAAATCCTTTTCTAATAAGTGATGCTGGAAGTTGTAGTCACTTGCTGCTCTGAGGCTGAGGAACAGTCTTAGTTTTATCTTGATGTATTCCCCCACCACCACTGTTGTTGCAGGATGAGAATAAGGCTGTCCCTTTGCAGGGATCCTCAGTGGAAGAAGAGGCAAGCACAGCCAGCAGTGCACAGCCTGTTTTGTCCTTGCTTCCACCTGTGCAGTATTGCCTTGGGAGTGAGGCCATAGCTAGACAACAGCATGGGTTAGAAGATGGGGGAATGTGCCTGGCCTCCCTGGTGGGGGGCAGTTGTGCAGGACTAAGCTCTACTGTTGAAAGCCAATGGCTGTGGGAGCTGGGGAAGCTTAGGAGCCTGTTTCCCATGCAATGCCTACAGTCCAGGCAGCCCCAGACTGGCCCCAGAAGGTAGAAAGCAGGAAGCTGCCCTCCTAGGGACTTAGGCTCTGCATGGACTGGCTTGACATCTTCTCTCAGGTGGAAGTGGGGTGCACATCAAGGACTGCTCTCTCTAAGGATCATGACAACAGTTTAGTTTGGATCAAAGCTTCCCTTACTGCTGCAAGCTCTGCTGCATGCTGGAAGTGCAGAGGGCAGCTAATAACAGAGCAGCTTAATCATTCCATGATGGGGTCAAGTCCCTAGCACCACAAAACAATGCTATGCAGGGGTGTGGAGGCCCAGCCATGTTGCCAACCATGACCTGTCACTGCCGGGTAGGCACTCACTGGAAAAGGAGACTAATCTAGCACTGGATGGCTCATAATTATTTTATTGCTACAGGAATAGGAACAGCTAAGTTCAAGTATAAACTGAAGAACTTCATTAGGTCATCAGAGCTGTAGCACCGGGGCAGAGGGATTGCTGTGCCTGTGCACAGAGGGAGGCAGCAGCCAGCTGCCACCACCCAGCGTTGCCCTGGGGCAGGAAGCTGGGCTGGAGTGCCCTGTAGGCAGGCCCAGCCTGCACTCACAGGGGGAAGAACCACTGGTCCTTCTTGCACTAGTGCCTGAATAGCCTGTGGGACACCACAGGGCAAACACATGCTTAGAAGGGAATGAGAAGAAATGCAACCACCTTTGGTGGTACCTCTGTTAGGAAACAGCCCCTGAGCCCTCAGAGTTGAGCCTGGGGCATCACCTAGGACTGTGAGAGGATGAAACAAGGAGAAGGGGAGGATACAGGCAATAGCTGAACATCTCTTCCCCTGGTGAGGAATGTTCTGAGAGGGGCCAGGCCTGATGGAACAGCTCCTTGGAGCTCTAAGCCACATATGGCCACTGGGCTCACGTAGTTCTTGCGGTAGCCTTGCTGGCTTCCTGTTTTTGAGCTCTTGTACTCCTAATGAGCTACAGGAAGGCCATATCTAGGTGATGAAGAACTATAGCACCGTGTCAGGCCACCTGGCAAAAGTGGCTGAGTCATGAGGTGGCCCAGTGCTTCAGGCCATGGCCCTGGGTTGGCTGCTTCAGCGATTCTGACTCCTGCTTATCTGAGGGAGCCAGCAAGGGCTGCAGCCTTGGGCCTGCTGGCAGCAAAGGACTTTGCTCTATGTGTTGTAGCAAGGAGAAGGCCAGAGGCCAGGGAATGCAATGATTAGGGCAGAGGAGCAGCAGAGAGGAAGGCTCCGGTGTCCGTAGCTGCCTTGGCCCACAGGCTCTGCCTCTGACACGGAGATAGAGTGCAGCACTGAGGCCATTTTCAAGAAAGAGTCCAAGCCCTCAGAGCCCAGGGCGCTGTCATCCAGTCCTGGTACTGGTTCTGCTGCAACTGGACAGGGGGTACTGCTGGTGTCACAGCCCATCTCCCTGGCCTGGTGGCAGCAACACCACCTCATCCAGCCAGAGCATGTCAAGCTGGGCAGACCGCAACTGCCGGCGGTGGATGCGGCGCAACCGCAGGAGGTAGAGGACTATGGCCAGCGCTACAACCAGGATGCAGGCAAAGAAGAGATAGTGGTTGTAGACAAAAGAGAGGCGCAGCCAGGAGGTATGTGCTTGCCGGACGCTCTCTGGCCGGAGATCCCTGCAGAGGGGAAGAGTCAAAACAAGGCCTGAGAACTGCTGGGGACTACCAGGGGTCCTACATTCCCTTTCCTCCTTCCTTGGGTGGCAGAGCCCTTGTCCCATATAGCAGCTCCTGCTCTGCTCCCCAGCCACCCTTTTCCTCACAAGCCAGACAACAGGATTCAGTACCTGAGCTAATGCTCTCTCCAGCTTTACCTGAGTGGCAGAAAACGTGTTTTGTAGAGGATGGCTCCCAGCGTCCACTGCACCTCCCGGTCGTACACCAGCTGGGCTGTGCGCAGACTAGGGTAGTCCAGGGGGAAGCGGAAGCCCTGGTGAAGGACTTGGTACATCCAGGCTGATTTGAAGCACTGGTACCTGCAGCAGACACAGCACACAGCAGCATCAGCCAGATGCTACTGCAGGGCCCGAGCCCACGCGTCCTACCTGTGCCACAGCTCCCAGTTATCGTCACCCTGGCCAAAGCCCCCCTGACATCCAGGACAAGCCCCACAGCAGGTACTTCTACGGCACAGCCTCAGCAAAGCCCCTTACTTGACTCGGTGCTGGTCCGCGTGTGATGAGTAGAGGCCATTGTGGAAGCGCTGCGTCAGCACGGCCCAGCTCTGCCTGCAGTACTCCTGGGGGAAGGGGAAGCCAGTGCTCAGAGTAGAGAACGGGACAGGGAACGGTGGACTCACTGTCCTCCAAACTGGGGCAACACTCACCTGGGCAGCAGAGGTGAAAGTGGGGGCATCGTAGCGCCCCCCTAGGCGCAGCACATCCTCGGTGCAATAGAAAAACTCAGAGAAGCCGTAAAACTCGCTGTTGCTGAAGTCGATGGGTGCTTTGTAGGCCCCCACCAGGGAGGCCTGGCTGCTGTTGGGCCCCATCAGAAGGGGGTGCAGCAGCTCTGTGCAGGTCTGCCAGTCCCCTTGTCCACGCACATGCAGGGTTTGAGCGCCCCTTGCCACCCTGTCCTCCAGTCCCACAGGCAGGCAGGGGTCCAGGAACGGTGTCTCAGGGCTCAGCCCTGTCTGCTGGCCATGCAGGCTGGAGAACAAGCCAGAAACAAAAGGCAACTGTGCATGGGGCCCTATACCACCCCCAGAAGACAGGCTTTGGTTCAGTGCTCTCCCACATCCCAGATACCCCCACCCCAGATAAGGGTGCATCCCAGTGTACCCTCATGGTCTCAGCAACCAGCCTGCCACCTCCTCCTGAAGCTGGACTCTCCAAATCTGTCATGCTGAACTGTGGCCACGTACTCTGCACACCTGATGGGTACAGTCTGTCCCACCCAGCCCACAGGGATTCAACCCTTCTGGACTGCCTGGAGGATCTGGAGGCAGGGTTTGCTCTCGGCACAGGGATACATGGTGACTAAGCCTGTTTCACCCTGGGGATAGCTTCATGCAGCGCTCTGGGAAGAGAACGAGAGATAAAGAGCCCAAGGCGGGGAAGCGATGGAAACATGTTCTGAGCGGGATCAGTGCTAGCAAAGGAGGGGAAGTCAGAGCAGAAAAAGCCCCCAAAGGAGACTCCTGCAGTTTGGTGAGAGGGGAGGAGGGCAGCAAGCTGCTATGCCAGTAACACCTGAGAAGGGCAGCACCTGTGCACCCTGTGCCAGGCTGTACATCTGCTACCGTCACATGGCTGCTGCCAACGTGGCTGCGGGGAACTGCTATCACCACAGGAGGCCCTCTGGGTAAATCCAGTTAGGAGGAAGCCAGTGCTCCAATTTGCAACCCAGTGGGGGCGTCCTCAAACAAGGTGGCCTTACTGGTTGTGCACATAGGTCTGGTTCAGCACAAGCTCCTCGTAGCGCTGCCGAGCAAAATTGCCCCCAAAGCCCAGGAAGGTGTTGACGTAGACACGGTACACGTGGCCAGTGTGCTGCACGTCACAGCCCAGGTTGAACTCTGCCAGCAGGCTCTTGGCAGCCTCTTCCTGGGGAAAGAGAGAGGTCTGTGATCAGCCACACCCTAGGGAAGGCAGGGCCTGCTCTTGGTGCCAGTCCCACACGGCTGATGAGATACATACCTGCTGTGGGGAGGAGAAGGCTCCAGAGCTGGGCACCTCGTAGGCGATCTGCAGGGAGGCACCCCCCATGTCCAGGATCCCGACCGTTCGTTTCCGCACCAGGGACTCGGCCTGGTCCCCTAGCGCCACGGTGACCACTGCATCCTCCTCTGCATCCCACAGCCACGTGTGAGCAGGGGAAGAGGCACAGGGCAGCATGTCCTCCCTTCTGCCGCTACCCTACTGCCCTGGTACAGCCAACCAGCCCTCTTCCACCACAACAATGCAGCACAGCAAAAAACACCCAAGGGCTGCTTGTACCACAGTGGGTCCAGGCTCTTGACACTGGCTGCCTACCAGCTTCACAGATTTCCCCAAAGCAGCTATGGCTGACAGCCATCACAGGAACCCTTCTACAAACCCTCTCTCTCTAGTTCTTCCCCTAAAATGCTGCCAATGACCCCTTACAGCATGCCAGGACTCACCCCCGCAACCCAGGCTAGTGCCCCTCCGTGCCACGGGTTCAGAAGGGTTTTGCATGCACTTCTGCAGTCAGGCATTGCCCGGACAAGGGGGCAGGCGCTGCCTGCTCTGGAGCCTGCTCTTTGCTCCAGCGCCCGGGTCAGCTCCACCACAGCCCTGCTCACAGAGTGCCTTGCCAACTACTGTGCAAACAGCCAGACTCACCATCCTCGTGCTCAAACCTCCCCAGGACAAAGTTGATGCCAATCCAAGCGTAGACACCTGCACAGGACGTAAAGGGGTACTCAGGCAATATCTTAAGTGGGGCTGGAGTACCCTCAGCACTCCATAGCTGCACTCCTGTGCTGGAGAAGCCTCTTCCTCTTGGACACTGGTATCGTTTAGCATGTGATAGGATGAGGGAACAGAGCCCTGCCTCATCCTGTGCATCTCTGCACTCTGCCCCAGTCTTGGTGACAGACCTCAATGAAAAGGAGGACAGGGACCGCAGCCATTTACCACACAGCCCCTTACCAACAGTGCTCTGCAGAGCAAGGCTGAGGCGTGGTGCCTCAAATAAAAGTACAAAACTGCTCCCACCCCAGAGCCCATACTGCATCTGACTCGGGGCCTGGCAATGGCTGGCAGTTGCAGGTGCTCCTGCTGCATAGGAGCACAGAGCAGCAGAGCAGTGCTCTGTGGCAGGGGCAGCTCTTACCTTCCTGTTTTCCTGAAATCACTTCTGCATGTGATTTGGAGAAGAGGAAATCAAACTCCAGAGGCACATTTGTCACCAAGTCCTCCAGAATTGCAGCCTGCTGCCTGCAAGGGTACAGAAGAGAGACAGACACCAAGCAGTCTTCACCAGAGTCGCTCCTTTGCAGGGGCACAAGAGACGACAGGAATCCTGCTGCATACACCTTGTACCCAGCCCCACGAACCCCCTCACTGCATCCAGCGTGTTTTCGGAGACTGGAGGTTAGTAGTATTTCATCTATTTGTTTGAGACTTCAGTTCAAAATGTCTCTTCCCATCAGGAAGGCTGCCACCGTCAGCACAATATCCTCCCAGCCAAAAGTCCCTCCTAGCAGGCTCAAACCCTCCTGCACCCCTTCGCCTCTCACCCCCAGCTGCATGCCCTCTCCTTTCGCAAGCACCCCACCACCTCACAGAGTCCTTCATCATCTCTCGTTAGGCTCAGGATGAGCCGGGTCCCCTTCCCCTCGTGGCTGGGGGATCCCAGCAGATCCTCGGCTCCTCGGCATTGGCGAGGAGCCC